ATTGCAACTGAAAAATCAGCAGTTTTTAAAGAAGTATTAAAAAAATCAGTCTGAAAAAAACAGTATTTTGATACTTCTATAAACAATTAGAAGTCCTATAACTGGAAATGTTGAATAACATTAAGTCTTTATGTATGGCACCTATTACCCAAGCATAGAAATACATGTACACACACTCAAGTGTGTGTGTGTATATATATATTTCTGAACTATACGCATGTGTACATACGTATACACACACATATGTGTAGTTCAAAAACACATTAATATCAGTTACGCTGGTATATTATTTGCTCCAAGTAAACTAACTAAGTAGGTTGATAAGGATTTAAAGTCTCCTGGTGATAAAGATACAAAGGTGTGTCTCAAGCTAATTTTTTGCAAAGACAGACCTTGGTCACAGCTGAGCGTAAGGGGTGATCCTCTGCACCCTACTTGACGATAAGTGGGACTTTCCAGATTAAAAGAATGAAATTACAACAATACTTATTTGTGTTCCTGATACATTTGAAGCAAGAAGTAAAAAAAGGTACCAGTAGGGCAGCTCAGTGGAAGGTAGGGAAAATCTCTGGAAACAGATAACATTCTCAGTGGCTGAGCCTCATTCTGTACTTAAACCCCGTTAATCCCTTCAAAAAGATAACTGCAAATACATACATACTGATATCTACATGGGTACATAGAAGGCGAGGAGGGGATGACGTGTAGAAACCCCCTCAGGAACAGCCAGAATAGAAAACGAACAGGAAAAACAAGCTTTGCTGGACACAGTTCTGAGTGTGCTGTTCTAACAGGGTGAATTGCGCCTTTAGAAGCAAGACCCTTGCTCACCCAAATCTGCAGCCCCCTTGTTCCTGCACAACTCGCTATGGATGGACAGGAGGGAGGTACACCCCAGAAACTGGAGCCTCAGCAGGCAGGCCGGCCTGCTCCATTAAGTGGAAAATCATTAGTGGATTAGGAAGCTCCATCAGGCTGCAGACAGCCAAGGGCTAGAAGAACCATCTGATCTGGGTCATTTTGCCAACAAGAGCCAGGGTCTGACATCATCTCGCTTGCAGCAGCAAGGGCTGAAAGGTGTTATGCAAGAACGAGTACAGGCTCAGTAGGGAGACAACATAGGGGCTAGGCTGGGGGCTACTGAGGAAGAGGCTGACAGGGGTGTCCTACAGAACAGCACCCTTCACAGCAGTGAGGCGGATACAAAGTCGCAATTTCCAACACAGGCATGAGTTAAAACTCTTGTTCCCTGCTGTGGTCATCTCAGCCTTCCATTACTGCATCAGATTTCTTTCTGGTCTCAGCAACTGCGGTGCTACCTTCCTCATCGCCATCATTAAACTGCTTGTTATTCTCATTACACCACCTTCTTACACTTGTCTTTTAGCTTCTCCTTCTCTATTTTATCCCATGTCATCTCCCTGTCTTGCCTTCCAAGGTTTTTCTTTACCTGTCATTTCTCACGCAGTATTAAACGCTCAACTTTTTACTTTCTGATCAGTCATATTGCTAGCCCCTGCTACCATTAGCCCCTGCTAACAAACAAATAGCTTCTGCTTTCTCCTCTGCTGCCCCCCTCTTCTGGAAGAAGTATCTGAAGCACCTACAGAGCTATTGCCTTTTCCACCTAAAATGACTCCTTAAAATCCTCCTTTTCAGAGATGCCAACACCAGTTAGGCTGCCAGTGTGCTAAAACTGTTACCAACCAGCCCACAAAAGAGCAAGCGAAAGAAAGAGCCAATTTGGGGATGAAAGAGCCAAAGTGAGGAGAAAAAAAGAGTACATGGGAAAAGGCAGCACAGAGTCTGACAGAAAAACTCCCAGTGAAGCAGGGAGCGGCAACCTGGGGAAAAGTGGCGGAGCCAGGGCCATGGGAAGTAGAAAGGCTGTGTAGCCTGCTCAAACGATGCTGTGGGAAAGGGAGATTGAGAATGGGAGTGGAAAAGACGCAAAGTATAATTCAGTGAAGTAAAGATGGAGAAGAACAAATTCAAGGAAATGAGTACAGAAAGGAATATACAAAACTGTCCAAAAAATTACCACAGACATTTACAGAGGAATTAAATTAAATGCACTGCAGTCACTCACGCACTGGAACCCAACCCTTACTATGCAATCAAACTTGTCTCTGTTTTCCTCCCTGTAGTTGTAGCCAGAAAGTCCATGGGCTTTTGATTTTGTAAGTATGGTCACTTCCCATTGATATTGTCAGGGAACAGTGAGGGACAGCTCTCCCCTTTGGGATGGGGAGCTGGGAGCCAAGTGCAATAACCGCATGGCCAGTGTGGCAGGGGCCTCACCAGCCTGGATCCATCACCACCCCTGAAGGTTGAAGACCTGGAGATGGTGGCCAGGTTCAGCCAAGAGACCATATCATCAGGCAAGTGCAATACCCGCATGGCCAGTGTGGCAGGGGCCTCACCAGCCTGGATCCATCACCACCCCGGATCCATCACCACCCCTGAAGGTTGAAGACTTGGAGATGGTGGCCAGGTTCAGCCAAGAGACCATATCATCAGGCAGGGCCATGGTGACATCGGCCTGTGTGTGGGCCCAGCTTGGCTGGGCTGTGGGAAGCTGGAAAACAGCCCTGGTGCAGACTGATGGCCCCAGGGGGCTGCCATAGGGTCCTGAGCCGTGGACAGGGTGGGGGAAGGTGGGCAGGGGCAGCCAGGGCCCTGTTAGTGCTCTTGGGGCCTGACAGATAATATGAGAACAAAGTCCATCCCCTCTGCTTCTCCACCCGGTGGATGAAAAGCTGGACATGAGCCGACAATGTGCGCTCGCAGCCCAGGCGGCCAACCCTATCCTGGGCTGCATCAAAAAAAGCGTGGCCAGCAGGTCAAGGGAGGTGATTCTGCTCCTCTACTCTGCTCTGGTGAGACCCCACCTGGAGTACTGCGTCCAGCTCTGGGGCCCTCGGCACAAGAAAGACAAGGACCTCTTGGAGCAGGTCCAGAGGAGGGCCACAAAAATTATCAGAGGGATGGAGCACCTCTGCTATGAGGAAAGGCTGAAAGAGGTGGGGTTGTTCAGCCTGGAGAAGAGAAGACTGTGGGGAGACCTTATTGTAGCCTTTCAATACTTAAAGGGGGATTGTAAGAAAGATGGGGACAAACTTTTTAGCAGGGTCTGTTGCTGTAGGAGAAGGGGTAACAGTTTTAAACTAAAAGAGGGTCGATTTAGACTAGATATAAGGAAGAAATTTTTTACAATGAGGGTGGTAAAACACTGGAACAGGTTGTGCAGAGAAGTGGTAGATGCTCCATCCCTGGAAACATTCAAGGCCAGGTTGGACAGGGCTCTGAGCAACCTGATCTAGTCGTAGATGTCCCTGCCAATTTCAGGGGGGGTAGACTAGATGACCTTTAAAGTCCCTTCCAACCCAAACTATTCTATGATTTTATCCGTGGTTACCTGGTAATGGGCTGTGGCGCCTTCTTATCTAAATGCTTAATTCAAAATCCCATGCACGTATCAACTGCTATTTAAACCACTGCAGAACCAATCATGGGAGTGCAACCTTCACCACTTTCTTTTAGGGAATCAAGATGAGCCTAAGAAACTTGCAAAGGAGGAAGGGAGAAAAGGGAATATGGAAGATAAGTTTAGAACATGATGCACGCCTACCACGGTGGCAATGAATGACCTCCTCGCAGGCTTATTTCATGGGAGATGGGGCCTCACAAAATACCTCTGCTTTTCTCATTATATTGATAACTAGGTCTCTGGCTGTCTTCCAGTTCCCTCCCATATTTCTCTTCTCAGTTACTGTCGGTAATAGCAATGGTGTCCTTGCCAGTCAGGTCTACCCGCCTTGTGGGTTCTTCAACCCTAGATCCTCTCTACCCCCTCCGGCTTTTCACCTCCCTGTGGAAACTTGATTCATTCATTCCTGCCATTGCACAACAAATAGCATAGCCAGAACTGTCTGTAACAGTGCCGGTTACTTAGCACACAGCCCCCAGGCAACCTCCTGGCTTCTGTTCACCTCGTTATACCCTTTTTGTATTCCCTCCACTAGTACACCTCTGCCATGACCGATGACAGCCATGATCTCTCTTTCTCTTTTTACACTCCAGTGCATACAAAATGTCTCTGCTTAAATTATTTTCCTTTTTACTCCCATCTGCTCCAGCTTCTTCTATCATTCTAGTCCAGCTTTTGACCCTCATTTTCAGGATCCAACACCATTTTGTCCAAAATCATACCTCTACTCTCATTCCCCCCAACTCTTTCTTTTTTATACTCCTCCAAAGACTCCTGTACAGGAATCATATACAAGTTCTTACACCGGTGTTTTGGTGCCTGCTCTTTTACAGAACTAACTTCTTTCCCTGAAACATCCTGACGCTTACTGACAAACTGTGTGCATGCATTATTCTCTCTCCCTACACAAATATAGGCCTATTTTTCATTTCCTTTCTGGTCTCCTCTGTATTGCAGGACAAGCTGTTCAGCAGAAATGTTATGTTTAAAGTCTGTTTTTATGAAACATGTTTTTACATCATACTATAGGACATGCAGTATCAAATATTAAGAAGTTAGGAAATAGTAGGATTAAAGTGGTGCATGAGCTAAACATAGAGTATAAGATGAACTATCTGCTGGCTTTTGGCAGCAGTCATGAAACTAAAGGGCTGACATTTCAGAGTATTTAACATTACAGTACACTCTACGTTCAAAATAGTCTTTCTGATTCAGTTACAGATATGAATACTTAAAAGATCTGCAAATCTGATTTCCAAAGCCTGCTCAAGTACCAGAAAATGGAGAATGGACAGCCAATGATAGTCTCTGAAAAGGTGGGCACCCCACACCACGTGGGAATGTTTTGGCAGACAAAGAAACCAAACTCTCATCCTAAAACCTCTTGCCTGATTCACAGCACACCTTCCCTCATCTGCTGTAGATAGTGGGGATCCTATTGCACCACCCTAGAGCATCTCAAGACCATGTCCATCCTGTGAATTGAGTGCATCATGTTGTATGGAATATCTTGTTTCTTTAAAAAACAAATGTTGAAAAACTACTTAAAAATGTATTCATGTGGCATCATAACAACATGCACAAAAATCATTGTCAGTGGTGAATCATTTAGCTCCCTTGGCTGATCTTATGATACTCACTCTAATGGAATAACCAATAGTGGCAGCGGGTTGTTATCTTCTGAACAAACCCAGCATCAACGATGATGAGACCCAAGCTTGCCAGACTTACCTGCTGACAGCAACAAAATGGCGAGGCTCAGGCATGCAGGATGCCGTTCCTGGCACTGGAGAATGGTCCCTAGCACAGCTTGCCCCTGCTTCCCCTGCTCCCATCATCAGCATGGCCTGCCCAAAGTCTTCCACTCCCGCTACCCCCAGTTCCACCTCCTTGCACCCCACTTCCCAGCAGCTTTCCAACAGTGAGTTCCCCTCCTACTGGACATATATTTGCATGGGCACCAGTGCTTTTCCCTCAGCCCCCACCCCAGGTGTGACCCCTTCTTTCCCAGTCCCTGTTTCCACTCCTCAGGCAAAATTTTCACCCAGTCTCCAGCAAATCCTCACCTCACCTCCAAAAGCCATCCTCGTATCGTTCCCAGTCAGCTTGCCCAGGAAATCCTGTTTTCCAGCTTCCCAAATGCCCATCAGATCTCACCCCGACTCTGCTGTTCAGTCTTCCCCATGCACGAGCCAGCTCTTTGCGGGCTCCCACTGCCAGACTCCTCCCTTAGTCTCCTCAGTCAGCCTCACAGCCCCCCACACCAACCACACTTCCGAGCCCAGCTCATCAGATCTGTCTCTCCTTCTTCCAAGCCTCCCACGCAGCCCCACTGCTTCTCACTCTCAGCTCTGTACTCAGATAGTCCCAGGCTCTGCACTTCAGCTCCTCTAGCTATTTTAGTATCTCCCAAACTATACTGACAGATTTTCCTTTCCTTTCCCTCCCACATCAATTTTCACACTACTCATCAAGGCACAGTTTCTTCTTGCTGATTTCATTCTTTGAATCTATTTTGCCAGTGATCCCCAACACTTTCCCCCAAAAAATCTTGCTCATGCTTGCCTTGTTATTTAAAATGGGTGGTTTACTCCCCTGTGTCACCTCAGTCCAGCAGAGGTTTCACTGAGAATATACAAGAGGAATCCCCTTAACCTCATTTTTCAAATGCTTTTTCCAAAAGCTGCAAAGTACCTGAACTTCTTAGATGAAAGGTCACCAGAACCATTTAACAGGAGAGAAAAGAGCACCGTTTCCAAAATACCCTGCATAAAAAGCTATAAACTATTTTTGCTCTAAGGCTTTAAAAATTTATCCTGAGGCAGTATCTAGCACGGAAAATTTCTGCTCAGACAGTTGAAATTTGACAAAATCCTATGCAGCTGCAAACTGTATTGAAATGAGAAGAGTCAAGATGCACATTACCCTTAGCAAAGCCAGAAAGTGAATGAAAGCCTCTGTCTCTTCATTTCAGGCACCAGAATCCTTGTAGCATCAACTTTTAGCTGTATGTTAAACTCCACTGTTCTTAACTGAGGAGAGCTATAGCAATGAAGAACAGACTGTCAAAAAAATCCTCTGTAGATTCACTTCATCATGGTGAGATTTCAAAAGCTAAATAATGTCTCAGTTTATTTCTTGAGAGATTTGATGGCAATTTCTAAATATATAAATGAAAAAAAAAACAACAAACTACTTTGTGACAAAGAAATCTCTCTTTATGGAGATTTGACTAGACTGTGAAAATCATGGTAACGTGAGAAGCTACTAACAATCCAATTTTACTCACCAATCAGACAACCTCAGTGAAGATTTCCCATTCGTCTGAGTGATGGTAAATAGAAATTAAAGATTCAGACAAAGAAAGATCCGTCCAAAGAAACACATTATTTTAATTTTATGCCTAGGTCTGCAAAGGAAACAGGGGAGAGGTTTTTGTCTTCTCCTTACCTGGACTTCAAGGCTGGGGAGTGTTTCTGCATCCACATAGATGGTTTCCCAGGAGAGCATCTGAAACACTCTGTATATGTAGTATTTGTCTTTGTTTTGATTAAATGCCCAGCTAAAAGATGCAAGTGTTTCCCTGTGAATGTTTAGGTGAGCATCTCCAGTTGCACATTACAAAGCAATGTGCTGTGTCTGTCTCTGGGTATAATGAGCAGCATTTAACCACTCCCTGCGTATGGTCTACAGCAGCTGTCAGAGCCTGCCAAGTGCTTCAACAGCAGCCTGCCAAGAGGCTGCCTGCTAAGCAACCAAGAAGGAGGATGGTTCGGAATATGAGGGTAAAGGTAATTTGGTTGAGAGCAACTGTGATGTGATCATGTATATTATTTTTAGAAGAGGAGCAAAAGGAAAGAGCAATTCAAACCCAATGGACTCTATACAAGAAGACTCCAATAAACCCTGAGAACTGGAAGGTAAGTTCTCATGGGAAACATGGCTAAAGCAGAAGGAATTCAGTAGAGTTGGCAGTTCCTTAAAGAAATGATGTTTAGGGTACAAGCACAAACAATCCCATACAGAAGGAGGATAGGAAGTAAGGTCAGAGATCAACTTGGCTAAGCAACACAGTCTTCAATGACCTGAAACACAAGAAGGAAATGTACAGAAAGTGGAAACCAGGTCAAACTCCTAAGGACAAGTATGAAAGAACAGCACAAGACGCTGAAACAAAGTCAGAAAGGATAAAGCACAAATTTAACGGCAAAAAGCAATGGACATAAGGGATAGCAAGAAAACAAATATGTAAGGAAAAGAAAAACCTAGTCACAGCTCACTTGCAGAAGCCTGAAGTACACTTTCCATCACTCTTCATAAAAGGGTGAACTGTAATTCCGTGGCCAATAACTAACTCAGTAAGAAAGAATTCATCTAAGATAGGAAAAGAACAGGTCTGAGAGTAATTTGGAAGTACTGCAGTTCACCTCATCCTCAAGTATGCCTCTACAGCATGTCTCCAGAAGAGCTCTCCATTGGTCGTTGACTGTACTAAGTCTCCCCTGACTGTGATAGGAACCTACATCCCTGCACAGATATAGATGGCTATTTTATAGGCAGCTAAAGTTAGGTGAAATGAGTCCCATCCATAGTGACACCTGGGCCTGAGGAAGTGCACATGAAGATACCTTGAGAACAGAGTGAAGCAAGCTCAGAGCTGTTAGCTTCCTTTGAAAACTCTCAGAAGTTGTGTGAGAAATGTGTGAAGAGGTGAACACAGTGCCCATCTTTAAAAAGCCAAGAAATGAGGAAGAGGCCAATTCTGGAAAAATACTAAAATAAATGAAAAAATAATTTATTCATAAAAGGTTAGAGATAGTTTAAAAAACTAATAGCCAACATGCCAAAAATATAAAGCAATATAATTTCTGTAACAGGGCAACAAGTCTCATAAATAGAGAAGCAGCAGGTCATGTAATATGTTTTAATTTTAATAATGTTATTGACATTAACTTATAACATTTTCAAAAATAAATTGAAGTGAAACTACTTCAGGGACAGTGCAAAACTACCCGAGGAGGAAAAAAACCCCAAACACACAGACTTTAACATTCGTTTTTAATCATTCATTATCAAACTGAAAAAAATACAATCAGTGAGATTCTAGCTGGGTCTGTTCTTGGCCAGGCAATGGTGCAAGTCACTAATGACTTGGATAAAGGAACAATCCTTCAACCTTACAGATAACAATTAAATTCAGAATGCTCTTGACAAATAAGAGAAATTATCTGTGGGAGAAAACACATTGCAATGCACTTGTGTTTACAAGTGTGAGATTCTGAGGGAGAATAACAGTTTGTAAAGATGTAGGCTTGGCAATGACCAGTTAGACAGCCATTCTGCCAAAAAAGGGATAAGAGGGGTAGCAGTCAGTCACAAGCTGTACATGAGTAAGTACTGTTACACCATATGTGTACAAGAATGCAAACTGCATATTAGAAAGATAAACTCTTTTGCTTGTGCGATACATTAAGGAATACCTCCTATTATATTCTGACTATCACAGGAACCAGTGGCACTTTGTCCTGTTCAAGCAAAACTGTTCAGAGAGAAGGTAGACCACCTGGAGAGAGTCCAGAGAAGAGCAGAGAAAATGGCCAGTTGTCTGGGAAAAAAACAAGAAAGAAAGATTGAAAGAATTGGGGTTACTAAGTCTAAAGAAGAGAAGGCCAACTGAACACATGAAAATTATCATCTACATAAGTTACCTGTAAAGATGTAAGGAGGGATTAAATTTTTTATCTGTAGTGGATATGAGGTGATGGGTTTAAACTATGACACTGAAGTTTATGTTCTATATTAAGAAAATCATATTAACAATAGAGATAAGAAAATACTTTTTCACTTCCGAGGTACAGATGATTCTTTCTTGGAGCTTCAGAATGCACAAGATGACATCTTGAGGTCTTTTCCAGTTTCCTTTTCTGTAAGTCTGTGGTTCATCCTGTTGTATAATTTAGAAGCCCCATCTTACCTCTCTAGAGAAGGTACATTTCTCAAAGTTTTCATGCTAAATTATACAAAGCCAGATTGTTGTTTCAGTATAGTGACTTGGAACCAGTGAAGCCACTACAGGGCTTACCACTGCCCAGATTGGCATGACGCCATTTTTTTTCTACTGTACATCCTTTTAGCTCTCATAAGAAATGTGAATAGTTGTGGCAGAAGGACTGCTATCTTCCAGAGACTAGAGTATCTGATATTTGATGGTTGTGCACGGCTTTTACAAATGTCAGAAATGTGTCTGTCTCTTTCCTGGGGATTCCTAATGGAGTCTGCTAGAGAAGTACTCTTATCTGCTGAAGCCTGCCCTTCTGGTGAGCTACTCCACAAACCGCTAATAAGACATGGAGCTCATTTGCCTCAGAGGGCACTTATTATGACGAGAGATGGAAGAGCACTAAACTGAGTGAAGCGAGATGTGGGCAGAAAATATGGAGACATACTTTATTAGAGGCCTGCAGAATCAGGTCGCTTCATCTCAGAATTTTTTCCTGTGCTTGTTCTTTGTATTAATCAAACTTCAAGATCATATTAATTTAATAAAGTATCCTTGCTGCGCAGAAAAGACTAAATTCCTTTTGCCTGCCTTCCACCAAAGATCCAACTCTGTCAATGTATAGACTTTCTTGGCAAAAGAACTCTATCATATGGGTGACAAGCGGAAAGAAAATCTCATAGAGGGGTGTTTGTTGTACTAATGCATTACATGAGTTCCTAGGACACATGACTCCATTGCCAGCAAATACCAGTGTTGGTCATTACCTGTATTGCCTCTGCAATTCACTTATATAGACATATTCAGGTGATCTTGTACAGAAAAAAACTCCTTAAAGCGGTTTTAACCTTGCAGAAAAATTACATTTTTCACATTTTATAAACTATTTGAACCAGGAAAAATTCATTTGATTCTGCTTCCTGGCCTTCTGAATTTCTATTGAACACTGCAACTGTCTAAAACACACAAGATAATCTGTTTCTGTGAGACATACTTTTTAAACTCAGAGTAATATACAACCTAGCATGAAATTCATGCTTACCTAATATAGAATACTACAGGAGTCATACAATAGAAATATTGTTTTCACGAATTCACCATCCTACGATTTTTCTCTGGGCAAAGTTTTCAGACTTTGATGAAGAAAAGTTTTGGTGAGGCCTAGGTATTTCACCTCAAATAAGGCTGAGAAGTTGTTCAAAGGAATAAATAAACTA